GCGTTTTCCTCGAGGAGGAAAAAAGGGGGCACGACAACAGATATACCTCGAAGTCTCTGATATCGCCAAGCCTAACCTCGGTCGAGTAGTGACGAGGAAGGTCAGGGCCCTACTGGTTATATATATAAAACAAGGTAAAACAATACGAAATGTGACAGTTTAATTAAAATACTAATAGTCGATAAAGAACAAAATCACAGAAAGAATATAATTCAATACACAGAGATAGCAACCGGGGATCTCCCGGGATATCGTCCAGTAGTCCCAAATGTAAATGTACAGAGGATCTCCCGGGATATCGTCCCGTCGTCCAAGAGTAATATCCAATACAGGGGGATCTCCCGGGATATCGTCCCGTAGTCCCAATTATAAATGTGCAGGGGGATCTCCCGGAATATCATCCGTAGTCCCAAAGTAAACATGTAGGGGGATCTCCCGGAATACCGATTCGTAGTCCCAAACTAAATACACAACAGTCTCAAGAAAGAATCCTACAATTCTATTCAAGTTCGTACCAGGAAAACAGGGAATTTCTACGCTAAACATGCTACACAAAATCCAAGTAAGCAGTTAAAGCAGATAAGACAGTTAAGTCACATAAGCATGCTTTCCTAAGCTAAACAGGAGGTTTCATACACTAGTATTGTTCAATTAAAGGAGAATCATAGATAAGTATTTAATGAAAACATGGTTTTTCAACAATTAGCGCGTGTGCGCACTCGTCATCTCACGTACACGGCAGTCATATGATCATAGTACCAAAATCCTAAGGGGAGTTTCCCCCACACAAGGTTAGGCAAGCCATTTATCTCGAACCAGCTCAACATCAATCCGAAATCACGCTCTTGCCACGAGTATCCAACTCTGAGTGGCCCAAATCTAATCAAATCAATATCATAACGTAAATACAACTACAAACAACTAATTTAGCTAAGGAAATCGAAGCTAAGGCAAGAAAATACAAGAACGCCCAAAAATCCTCCCCGGGCCCACGTCTCGGAATGGGGTAAAAGTCACAAATTATGAACATCCATTCACTCACGAGTCTAACCACACCAAATTCACTCAAATCCGATACCAAAATCTCGATCAAAATCCCAAAATTAGGCCTAAGAACTTTTCTCAAATTTTCCCAATTTCTCACCCTAAATCCGAAATTAGATGATGAATTCATGTTTAGATTACTGGGATATAATCAAAAAGGAGTTAGGAATCATAGCCCACAAACTACCTCCGAAAATCTCTCCAAATTTCGCCTCCTACCGAGCTCTCAATCCAATTTTTGAGTTATGAACTCAAACCCTCGATTTTGGAACTTAAATTCTGCCCAGACGCGTTCTTCTTCGCGAACGAGAGACCACTATCGCGAACGAGATGCACAAAAATCCTCTAGCCAAATTTCCTCCTTCGCGAACATGAGGGTCCACTCGCGAACGCGTAGCTCCAGCTCCAGGACCTTCGCGAACGCGACCCCATACTCGCGAACGCGTAGAGCAATTTCCTGGGGTCCCCAGCTACTTTGCCTTTCCTCTTCGTGAACGCGCTCAGCTCCTCGCGTTCGCGATGCTTCCACTGGCCAGCCTTCGCGAACGCGATCTCCCCTTAGCGGACGCGAAGGCCAATTGTCTGCAACAGAAAAACCAGCAAATCCGCTGTACTCCTAAGTCCAAAAATGACCCGTTGAGCATCCGAAACACACCCGGGCCCCCCGGGACCTCAACCAAGCATGCCAACCAATCCTTAAACGTCATACGAACTTAGTCCAATCCTCAAATCACATCAAACAACGCTAAAACCACGATTCACCCTCCAATCCAAGCCTAATGAACTTGAAATCTTAAGAATTCTACATCCGATGACAAAACCAACCAAACCAAGTCCGATTGACCCCAAATTTTGCACATAAGTCACATTCAACACTACGAAACTTTTCCAACTTTCGAAATCGGATTCCGAACCCGATATCAAAATTTCACTATCGATCCGGAAACTTCAAAAATTCAACTTTCGACATTTCAAGCCTAAATAAGCTACGGACCTCCAAAACACAATCCGAACATGCCCCTAAGCCCGAAATCACTCAACGGAGCTAACGGAATCGGCGGAATTCCATTCCGAGGCCGTCTTCACACTGTTCCGACTACCGTCCAAATTCTAAAGCTTAAGCTCTCATTTAGGGACTAAGTGTCCCAAAACACTCCGAAACAAACGAATCTTCCCGGCAACCCACAATAGCAGAAATAAACACGGGGAAAGAAGTTAATAGGGGATCGGGCCATAAATTCTCAAAACGACCGGCCGGGTCGTTACAAGTAGGCTGTGACAACATCCATCAACCGCATATCAAGCTTTTCATGGACTTCCAGATTTATTAGACACCTAAAGGTAATTGCATCTACCACAAGAGAATTTGTCTCCATATAATCAATGCCAGGACTTTGCGAAAACCCTTGTGCCACAAGTCGTGCTTTATATCTTACGACTTCGCCTTTCTCATTTCATTTTCGCACGAAAACTTATTCCCATTGGCTTGACACCTTCAGGCATTCAAACTATTGGTCCGAAAACTTTACGTTTTTTGAGTGAAGCAAATTTTGCTTGAATTTCATTTTTCCATTTTGGACAGTCATTTATCTGTCAATATTCATCGACAAATTTTGGCTCAAGATCCTAATCTAGTTGCATTAATTTCAACTGCAACATTTTATGCAAAACTGTTGTCAACAACAACGTTATTTCGGTTCCACCTTTTTCCCGTAGAGACAAAACTTATTGATATCTCTTCATTTTCATCATTTCCAGGTACTAGAACCTCCTGTAAGGTCTTATCAATTATTATGTCTTTATGCTCCTCTTGAGCAATTGCCTCCATGTTGTGATCAACTTGATCATTTGCTCCTTTCCTTTTTTGGGGATTCTTATTCTTGGAACTGATTGATCTACAACGATTAAGGCGTGTCCTAGACTCATTTGCATTATCATACTGTCCAGCTGGGACATCAACTCGAATTGGAGCATTTACAGCTGGAATATGCAATTTAGTAACCCGTGAAAGGTTAGTAAATGCATCTGGCGATTGATTTGCAACATTTTGAATATAAATGATCTTTTGAACTTCTTGTTCACATTGATTTGTACGAGGATCCAAATGAGATAGAGATAATACGGTCAAATCTATCTCTTTTTCCAGTTGTTTATTTTCTCCCCCTAATGTTGGCAAAACTGATTCATCAAAATGACAATCAACAAATCTGGCCGTAAACAAATCTCCAATCATAGGGTCCAGATATTTAATAATAGACGGAGATTCATAACCAATATATACTCCCAATCTTCTTTGGAGACCCATCTTTGTGCGTTGTGATGGAGCAATTAGAATATATACCGCACATCCAAAAATTCTTAGATGGGAAATATTTGGCTCCTGACCAAAAGCCAACTGTAATGGCGAGACTTCATGATAACTGGTTGGCCTTATGCGCACAAGTGCTGCTGCATGCAAAATAGCATGTCCCCACACTGAAAGGAGAAGTTTTGTCCTGATTAGCAATGGTCTAGCTATTAATTGGAGGAGTTTAATCAATAATTCTGCTAGACCATTTTGAGTATGAACATGAGCAACCGGATGCTCAACTTTTATTCCAGTGGCCATACAATAATCAGTAATGGCCTGAGATGTAAATTCACCAGCATTATCAAGACGAATTGTCTTAATGTCATAGTTTGGAAATTGTGATCTTAACCTTATTATTTGGGCCAACAATCTCGCAAATGCCATATTACAAGTTGACAATAAGCACACGTGTGATCATCTTATAGATGTGTCTATCAAGATCAAAAATACTTGAATGGTCCACATGGAGGGTGTATAGGCCCACATATATCACCTTGTATACGTTCCAGAAATGCAGGGGATTCAACTTTAGCTGTTGATGGTTTAATAACCAATTTTCCTTGAGAACAAGCAGCACAAGAGAATTCCTTAAATTGAAGAATCTTTTTGTTCTTCAACGTGTGCCCATTTGAATTCTCTATTATTCTGCACATCATGTTAGAACCGGGATGGCCCAACCAGTCATGCCAAATAATAAAATTATTAGAAGCAGTAAATCTTTTGTTTAGTATGGCATGTGATTCAACCACACCAATGTTTATGTGGTACAACTCAGAAGAAAATGCGGGTAATTTTTCGTGCACACATTTTCCCCCCGCTTTTATTGTAGTAATATAAAGGTATTCAACCTTTCCTTCGTTAGAAGTCTGAAAATGATGGCCATTTTGGTGAATAGCTTTGAAAGTCGACAAGTTTCTTTGAGACTTACTACAATACAATGCATTATTAATAGTTAATATCGTTCCTCCAGGTAGTAATAAGGCCGCTCTTTCAGATCCCTCAATTAACTTTGTACTACCAGATATTGTATTATTATAGGCTTTTTTCATAACCAAATAAGAGAAAATTTTCTTTTCTCTTAATATTGTGTGAGTAGCACTATCCAAAAGGCATAAATCTTCATTATTCATCTTGGATCCAATTGAAGACTGGAAAATTTTATTTTCTTCATAAAAAAAAGTACACCATGAGAAATACGGAAAAACTAACAACACCAACAACAACATAAGACAGCTTAAGTACTACTTGAAAATAAAAACAATTTTAGAACGAGACCAAAAAAACACTGAAAACAAAAATAACAACATAATTGCATTCCCCAGTAAAATGACCAAACTTTAGTTTTGATCTCCAAAGAAGTCTTCAACTTCCAAATGAGTAAGATTATCGAGGCCATCAAAATCATCATCATTCCAAAGCAAGATTTGCCTCGGCATTGTCATCATTTTTGTTTGAAGGCCCTGCCTCAAAATTATTTTTAAAGGTCAAGTGAGACTCTGAGCATTAGCAGAAGATGCTCCAACATTATTTGCCTTTATTTTGATGGAGTTTTGATAAAGCCTCACAAAATGCTCAGGTGCACGGCATTCAACTTTCCAATGACCTTTCATGCCACAGCGGTGGCAGTTACCGCTTTTGCCTCTTGAAGGACTGTTTTGAGAACCCATATTTTTCTCTCGTTTTCCATGACCACCATGATGACAATTATTATATCGTCTCTTGCCATTGCCATGCCATGGAAATTATTCTGTCTTTTTCCAGACTTATCATGTCTCGCTACCATATTCGCTTTAGGAAGTGGAGCTGACCCTGTGGGATGGGCTTCATGATTTTTCAGCAAAAGGTTATTATGTTGCTCAGTCACCAGAAGGCATGAGATCAATTCGAAAAACTTTTTAAAACCCCTTTCAAGGTATTGCTGCTGTAATATCATATTTGAGGCATGAAAAGTCGTAAGAGTCTTTTCCAGCAAATCCTATCATTCATAACATCTCCACATAATTTCAATTGGGAAGTTATTCGAAATACAACAGAGTTATACTCACTTACGGTCTTAAAATCTTGAAATCGTAAGTGCATCCACTCATATCGAGCCTTTGGCAATACCATAGCCTTAAGGCGATCATACATTTCCTTAAGGCTAGTCCACAATTCAAGTGGATCTTTCACTGTCAAATATTCAACCTTCAAACCTTCATCCAAATGATGACGAAGGAAAATCATGGCATTCGCTTTGTCCTGGCTTGATGCCTCATTACCCTGAGTAATGGTGTCACCAAGGCCTTTAACGGCTAAGTAAATCTCAACATCGAGAACCCATGATAGGTAATTCTTTCCAGAAATGTCAAGTGCCAAAAACTCAAGCTTTGACAAATTCGACATAGTGAAAACTATCAAAGAAGATAAATAATTAGAAATCATTAGGATAATAGCGTAAAGAATCTTAAAAATTAACATAATATCAAATTTGTGATCTATATACACTAAAGTGATAATTCCATAGAAAAGAATACTATTTTTTTCCTTTAAATTATTAGTATATCTCTCACTGTTAACTACAACAAAAATGTCTTCTTACTTTAACACAATTTCAACTATCGAACAACATAAAACAAGTATTCTTCTCTCAATTAACTCTATTAGCATGAAAATTAGCAACTTTCACGTGACAATCATGCAAACAACTTAAAATAAATAAACATAGATTCTTTATTTTTACACATGTCCAGAGATGTGAGAAATTATAAAATTGCATATTAAAGACACTAATCATGAAATTAAAATATACAACGGAGAAAACAGAATAAACAAGTATACCTGAACAACGAAAAGAGCTCAACTTCGTGCTGATAGCGTGTTAAGAAATGTAGCTCAAAGTAACAATATAAACAAGAAGATAAGTAATAGAATAAGAGAAGAAGAGATAACTTTCTTATTTCATCAAGTGTTCAAGTGTGTCCCATATCACATTTCATGCCTTTATTTATACTATTACATAGAAGGTTACAAAAGGATTGTCTTAAACATGACAGTAACAATTGAGATCATGGAGATTAGAGGGAGGGGTTATGGAGGTGTAAGAGTTACAATCATAATAGTAATGAGTAGTGGAAGGTTATTTAAAATCACGGGCGAAAGTAGGACCACGGTTGGACATTCACAATTACTATAGGTTTTACGACAATAATAATATTTCCTGTCTTCTAATCTTTTTTCTTTGTTTCTTAACAAACGTAAACTCCTAAATCCCAAAGCATATAAAACCCCCCCAAAAACCAAATTAATGCACTTCTAAATTCTATCTCCTCTTTTCTTCCCTTTCCCTTTCCCTGTGCAAATTTTCCGTCCAGCTCAAATTTCTCCTTCCAATTTCCCTCAAATCCCATCCAATTAACCTTCAATTCCCTTCTAGGGTTACCTTTCCCCTCAATTTCTTACGATTTCACTTTCAAGTCCCATGAAATGATCCAAAATTCTCACGACAACGATTCTTCCTCCAAGTCAGTAAACGAAACGGTAAATGGGTCTCACCATTTTACCATCAGGGGTTATTCTCTGGCCAAAGGAATGGGTCCTGGTAAATACATATCAAGCGACATTTTTACCGTGGGTGGTTATGATTGGGCCATTTATTTTTACCCTGATGGTAAAAACATAGAGGATTCTTCTGTATATGTTTCTGTTTTCATTGCATTGGCTAGCGAAGGAACTGATGTTAGGGCCTTGTTTGAGTTGACGTTATTGGATCAAAGTGGCAAAGGGAAACATAAAGTTCATAGCCATTTTGATCGGGCGTTAGAAAGCGGGCCTTATACTTTGAAATATAGAGGGAGCATGTGGTACGTTTTATGTTTATGTTAATGGTTATATGGTACTTTGTTCGCTATTAGCTGTATGCTTTGGATTGGAATAATATTTTATGTTTCAGTTGGGGTTTAATTGTATGTAATTAGGTTTTTGAATTGTATTTGATTCCAAGCCTGGATAAACTAGGAGGGTTGTTGCACCCAACGGTGTGGCCTAGTGGTCAATGAAGTGGGTGAGAACCAGGGGGTCTCAAGTTCAAATATCTGTGTAGGCAAAAAACACTAGGTGATTTCTTTCTATCTGTCTAAGCCTTGGTGGACAGAGTTACCCGGATAAGTCGCTGGTGGGGCTGGTGGGAGGTGGCCCGTGGAATTAGGCGAGGTGCGTGCAAGCTGGCCCGGACACCACGGTTATAAAAAAAACAGTAGGAGGGTTGTTGTAGGTTCACAGGTAGTGTAAAAATTGTTTAACTATGGTGCTTTACTGAATGTGATCTTTGGTCCCTGGTAATAATGTCAAAGTTTGATCTCAATGCTTGTCATTGAAGTGAGAATGGTCACAATCCTATTTACAAATATCAGCTAACTTGGAAAATACATTTACTCGTACGTGCATCGGTAGCTACTTTATGACATAGCCAACATTTGCAATGTATTTGAAATACAATTTAAAAAGAGTGGCAGATACCTGCTTATTCGAACGTCAAGATTGTATCCTGAAGTCCAGTTCTTGTAGTTCAAACTTCAGGCCACTGTGTTTCTGAAATCTTTGTTGTTTTTCTCTCTTTTGGCTGTTATGGTTTTCCCTATGTTCAATGTGCGTAAATGTATCAATTTGGGTGCCAGATATTGGGGAGTACCAAAAAAAAAAAAAAAAAAAAAATTGGGGAGTACATTCTTGAGTTTATGATGATGCATGTCCCGTCCAAACCTTTACCTTGGGGTAGATAAAATATGTCTATGGTACTTTTATACAAAAAAGGAAAAGTCTTTGATGCCGTTGAAGTGTTAAGACTAGGTTAATTATTATTTCTTTATTTATGACATGGTGTCACTAATATGCATAGCCCAGAACCAAAAGTTCTTGTTAAACCTACTGACTCACATTGAGCATTGTAGTTGTGATTGAATTAAATAGGTAGATAATGAGAACATACCGAAGTTTAACTGGAGTAACATGGTCGGTGATAATTCATATAGTGGACCCCAACTTGTTTGGGACTGAGCATAGTTGTTGTTGATGATGATTTCTTGATGATGATGAAAACATATTGAAAGATCCATTTGTCTAGTTTTATTCGTAAAAACTCAATGATTGCTTAGATAACTGACTCTCCTGTGTTTGGTGATCAGCTACATGAGTGACCTCATCTCCTCTCCGTTGTGTTACTTCCAAATAATTGTTTAGTGATGAATCCACCATTTATTTGTCGCTAGTAGCCCTTTATGCTCTGTGCCTCAGTGGAAGAAATTGTTCGTTTGCGCCGTGTGTATTTTCTTTTTTTGAAATATGATAATGCTGACATATCGTGAGTACACTCTGTAACAAGTGGGTCTTAGATAAAACTCAAGAAAGTTCGCCGAATTTCTAGTTGGAAAACTGTATTAGCTTTTCAATCTGAGCTGTTGAAATACATTTAGAACATTTTATTTTACTGGTCATCATCAGAACTTCTTGTCTGTATTTACAGGGGTTACAAACGATTTTTCAAAAGAATAAATTTAGAAACTTCTGACTACCTGAAGGATGATTGCCTTGCCATGCACTGTACTGTTGGAGTTGTCAGAAGTCGCGTTGAAGGGCCCAAAGATTATAGTGTTGTAGTTCCACCATCAGACATGGGCCAAAATCTCAAATACTTGTTGGATGCTGAACTTGGTTGTGACATAGTTTTCCAGGTTGGAGAAGAGACATTTAAGGGTCATAAGTTGATACTTGCTGCTCGGTCTCCTGTGTTTAGAGCCCAATTCTTTGGCCTTATTGGGAATCCTAATACAGACAAAGTAGAACTTGAGGATATTGAACCCTCAATCTTCAAGGTAATTAGTTCGTGCTTTAATACACATGATTCTTCTGCTATATGAAGAAACATATATAATTAAAAGTAGGTAAAAGATGGAGAATTTGAAAGATGAAAGGTCTTTATGTTTTAGGCACTTCCCAAAACTTTTAGGTTCAACTGTTTAAGGATTTTTCTTTTAGGGGGACAAGGTGGGTGGGGATGAAAGCAATTGGTTTATAATATATTTCATTGTTCCTTCTCAAACGTTAGCTTGTAGTACTTTTGGCATTCATTTTTCTGAATCAGCATGTAGCAATATGATGCGTAGGCTGAGATTTTGATTGGAATTTGTTAGAACACTAATGTTTGTGCGAGCTAAGCATTTTCTATAAATTTACCATCTTTGACTTAGTTGGTATCACTATGTTTTAGATAGTCCTTTGGTATGCTGAGCTTCTTATGTGCGTCTGTTTATAAAGGGCATAGAAAAATATGAAGTTAGCAAGTATATAGCTAAGTAGTCTCATCCCCTTAAGTTTTAGTCTCAGACTCTTCTTGTTCTATGGTCATGCTCTTGCACCTTAGCTTCTCCAACTTGTGTTTCTCTCCCTCTTGTAGTTTTCAAATATAAAAAATTTACATGTAACTTGCCCCAACCTTGCAGTTCTTTCTTAGAAGCTGAGATGATCTAGGTGGACTTCTTTTCATTTTTGTAGGCTATGCTCCAGTACATTTATTCTGATGAGCTTCCAGATTTAGGTGAAATTACTGGCTCTACTTCAACATGCACTTCTACGATAATGATGCAGCATCTATTGGCAGCAGCTGATCGCTTTGGTTTAGATAGGTTGAAAGAGTTATGTGAGGTGAAATTGTGTGAAGAAGTTAATGTGGATACAGTGGCAACAACTCTTTCCCTTGCTGAGCTGCATTGTTGCCCACAGCTCAAGGCCATCTGTTTGAAATTTGCAGCAACAAACTTGGGAGGTGCGTGTACTCCATAGATGTGAGCGGTGAGGTATTTCAGGTCATGTTTTTTTTTATAGTTTTTCTTAGTTAATTTAACTGCAGACATGTTCTTTAACTCTGCTTGTTTATGTCAGTTCGTATGGCAAATTTATATCTTCCAGCTTAAATTTAAAGCCAGGAAAAAAAAATCTTATGGTAGTTTTCCAGTCTATGATGATAGTCTCTTGAACTACTATGATAAGGTCCTAGCTCCTTTATGAAAGGATAATTTTTGCTCTAACTTGGTTGCCAAAGGTTCAAGTTTATAGAGATGGGTATCTTATTGGTGTATATTAGAGGCAGTTTCTTTTTGACCTTAGTCAAAATGCACTGTAGAGATGCTGGTGGAGCATCTCAAGTGAGGTTCCTTGCGCAAAGCAACTCCTATTATTTGATCTGGGCTTCCCGATCAGTTAGTTGATGCTTAGCTTGGAAAACTTGAGAGAATATTTGAGTGGTTTTGGCTTCTTTAGTTACATCCCTTGGAAACAAAATACTTAAACCAAAAATTGTATGTTGAAAGAACATTCAGATTTGACAGGTGGTGGGTTTTGTTTATGTTACG